CGGCCCGGTGGGCTCCGGAGCCCTCCCGGGACCGCCTCGTCGCACCTCGCTCCGGTGAAACGGCGGAAAACGAAAGCAAGAGGAGGCCCGGGCATAGCACCGGCCCCGGGCACAGCTCCGTGCCCGTGCCCCGGCGAGGGCTCCGCTTCTAACGGGAACCGGGAGCAGCAAATCGGGGCGGGCGGCGGGGCCCGGCTCCCGTTGACGGCGGCCCGGATTTCGGGGGGGAGGCACGGATCCATCCCGGCCCCCCGGTGCCCACACCCGCCCTTCTATAGATCCACACCTACCTATAGAAAATATATAGCATCTATATGATGAATATCTGGGTTTGAAGGGGCTGGGAGCGCTGCACGGCGGCGTTGGCGGAGGTGCCAACCCTCCAGCACCGGCGGCTCACCGGGGAGCGGCCGGGCTTTGTGTCCCCGCACCGGGGGACACTCGTGGGGGGACGTGGGGGGAGCTTTTGGCAAGGAGCCCCATCCCCAAACGGCGGGGGCAGCATGGCGGGGAGGGCGGGGGGGGGAAGGACACCGGAGGCTGCTCCCGCCGGCACCGGGCACCGGGCACCGGCCCCGCCGCTCTCCGTGGTGCTGAAACCGCCGCCCCGGGGACCGTGCGGGGTCGCGTCTGCCCCGTCCCTTCTCTTCCCGAGCCGCCACTAATTAATCCTTACTCTTGCCACTAATTATTATTATTAATTATTATCATCCATCTCATCCCGGCCGATCCTTCTCATTCCCCGCCGATCGTTCCGAGCGGGAAGAAACGGTGCCAACGAAGCTACCGAATTAACGGATCGTGGCCCCGCACAGGGCGTGGGCCGAGCCGGTGCCGTTACCTCCGCAACCGGGCTCCGAAATATCTCTCCTGCCCGGCCCCGGGCGACGGCGGCTCCCGGTGGGCTCGGCCCCGCTGCCGTCCACACCGCCCGGGGCATCGCCGGTCCCGGCCCCGTTTCGCCGCCCCGGTGGGTTCCGCTACCGAAAGGCTACCTTCCCCCGGCGGGCCCGGCCGCGGTCTTTCCCCAAACCCCGGGAAGGGCCATTCCGGGCACCGGCGGGGCCGGGGCTCAGCATCCGTGCCCGCTCCTCTCGTCCGCCGCCCGCCGGCCCGGGAGCCGCCGCGTAGGGCCCGGGCGGGCCGCAGCGGCCCGGTTCGCCCCCGCCGGTTGCCAGTCTCCGGTCCCTACGGCTCCCTGCCCCCGAGGGGCGGCGGGGGAGAGGTTTGGCAACGCCGAAACGGGAAGGGGCGGCCGCCCCACGCGTGGCTGCAGCGGGGGCTCCACGGAGCCCGCCCGGCCCCGTTCCTCCCCGCCACTTACCGACTCCGTCGCCCGCCCGTACCCCTCGGCCCGGCGGCTGCGGGAGCTGGCTCCGGCCCCGGTGCCCCTTTCGTCGCCCCTTCTTCCCCTCGCCTACACCCTCGTGTGAATCAAATACCTTCACTACAGCAGCCATGTTGGGCTCCGGTACGAGCACGGCGCTCGCCGCAGGAGCCGCCGGTCGCCTCGGCGGGAGGCAGCGCGGCCGGGCTCGGCTCGGAACGGCGCGGGGATCCCGGTTCCCACCGGAGAACCGGAGCCCGGGCGGCCTCCGACCCTCTTCTCCCATCGCACCGAGGGATGCCGCGATGCGCCGTTACCCTGCCAGCCCGGTAACTTCCCACCGTTACCGGTAACGCCACTAACTGCGGGTCCCGCACCTGCCCCGCATCCCTCCGGTAGAACCGGCCGCATCCCGGGACTGCCTTCGGAAAAAAATTGGGGTGTTTATAGGGGAAGGAGCCGCGGTTACCTCCTCCGAGCCCGGTGTTGCCGGTTCCCCCGCCGCTCGCCGCTCGGTCGAACCCACCTGGGGAGGGAAAGAGAGAGAAGAGGCGTCAGGAGGAGCCGCCGCCGCCATCGCTCCAACTTGGAGCAACTTTCCCGGTGAGGCTGGCAGCGGGGGCGGGGGGGTGGGCGGCGCTGGAGCCCCTGCCCGGTCAACCGGGACCGGTCCCGCCGGCGGCCAGGGCGTGGGATGCCCCTAAACCGGTCCCTTCCACCCGCGGAGTGGGGACACCCACCCGGAGCCCCGGCCCTTTCCGAGGTTGGGGGGGGACAAACCGGGACACGGCCTCTGCTGCCGGGGAAATGCGGGAGACCCTCGCGGAGGGGCAGCCCCACACTCGGTGTCTGTCCGTCCCTCCGTCTGTCCGGTTTTACCGGGCGGGGGGCGGCCCAGCTCCCCCGCACCGTGGGCACCGGAGCATCCCCGGGCACCGGAGCATCGCACCGGGCATTCCCCGCCGCTCCTCGGGCAGCGGAGCCGCTCGAAAGCGGATTTTTCAGCTGTGCTTTTATTTCTTTTTCCTTTTCCTTCCACCGACATTTCCCCCCCTTCTTTTTTTTCTTTTCTTTTCCCGCCTCATTTTTTTTCTTTTTTTCCAACGACTCGTTCCCCCGCACATCCCTTCGCAGCTCCGTTCAACCAGCACCGGAGAGGGGGGGGAACCGACCCCCGAGGTAAAGGCGTCCCCAAACCCCCGGCCAAATCCACCCCAATTCCCGCCCGGCTGAAAATATCGATGTGGGCGAAAACTAATGATTTAAACAGATTTTAATGATTTATTATTTTTTTTTTCTTTCCGCAGCCGCCGTCACCCAAAGGTGTTGAGGCAACAAAGAGCGGGAGGGGATTCGACGCTCCTATTTTTGGCCTGTTCCCGTCTAGAAATATTCCCCCAAAGCCCCGAAAGCTTCGCAAAGATTGATCTCTCAAAAAAAAAAATAATAATAATAAAAAAAAACCCTAAACCAAACAACCATCCCCTGCCCTGCAAAGTGTTTCCAGAGATTTTTTTTTTTTTTTTTTTTTCTTTTTTTTTTTCCCCTCCTTCCCCGTTTGATTCCAACGTTGTCGCCGGGAATTATTTGCATTTAAAATCCAACGACTCGTTCCCTCGCACATCCCTTCGCAGCTCCGTTCAACCAGCACCGGAGAGGGGGGGGAACCGACCCCCGAGGTAAAGGCGTCCCTAAACCCCCGGCCAAATCCACCCCAATTCCCGCCCGGCTGGAAATATCGATGTGGGCGAAAACTAATGATTTAAACAGATTTTAATGATTTATTATTTTTTTTTTCTTTCCGCAGCCGCCGTCACCCAAAGGTGTTGAGGCAACAAAGAGCGGGAGGGGATTCGACGCTCCTATTTTTGGCCTGTTCCCGTCTAGAAATATTCCCCCAAAGCCCCGAAAGCTTCGCAAAGATTGATCTCTCAAAAAAAAAAATAATAATAATAAAAAAAAACCCTAAACCAAACAACCATCCCCTGCCCTGCAAAGTGTTTCCAGAGAAAATCTGATTTTCTATTTCTCCCCCCCGCCCTCCCCGTCGCTCCTGAGCCC